TATCAATGGTAACAAAAAAACTGATAATATGAAGATCGGGGACTGTATTAAGGATGATGCATGGGATATAAACACTATCTTTAGTCTAGTTCCGAATAATCTGTTGAATCATATTACACATATTCTTATTGGCAATAGACAGATTAATGACACTCTTGTTTGGACCGACACTTCTAGTAGGACCTTTACTTGTTCCTCGGCTTTTAATAGCATTAGGAAAAGAAGGGATAGGGATAATATGTGGAAAGATGTCTTGAAGAAAAAGTCCAATTTAAAATGTCTTTCTTTCTTTGAAGAGCTATTAAGGGTAAATTGCCTGTGGATGAAACCATAAAGAGATTTGGTCATAATATAGTATCCAGATGCTCATGTTGTTTACATCCCAAAAAAAAAACTATTTCTCATATTCTTCTTACTAGTGAAATTTCTTTGCAGGTCCTCTGGGAATTAAAGTAGGATGCCACTCAATTGCTTATACTTTAAAAGAATGGAGGATCATTCAGAATAAGAATAATATCCAAAGAAACTTATGTCAAGTAGTTTCTATCTTTATCTGTGGGGAACTATGGAAACATAGATACTCTATCAGGTGTGGAAACATAAATCCTATTATTACAAAACTAAGACACTCTATTTTGTTTCATATGAAGGTATACATGAAGAAGAGAGGGGCTACTGTGGATATGAAATGCCAATGACAACAAATTTGCTCTTGCATGGAAGATTATAGACCAAGAATCACAAGCACTCTAGTTATATAGAATAAACCACCTGAAGGTTTTCTAAAAATAAATATCGATGGAAGCAGTAATATTACAATGAGAACTGCAGGAATTGGAGGGGTGGTTAGGAATAGAAATGGAGATTTGGTCATGGCATTTATCAAAGCTCTTCATTTCTACACTAACAACCAAACCGAAGTTCATGCAGCACTCTATGCCCTTAATGGTGCAAGCAAACCAATGTAACCAACTGTATCCTAGAGATGGACTCTCTTATGACTGTCAATATGATGAAGGGTGTTTATAATCCTCCTTTGGAGCTTACAGATGACATCAAGTACATAATTCAAATTGTACGATCCTTGAACATAGAAGTTCATCATTGCTATAGAGAAGCTTATCGAATGGAGCCAATTCACAAATCTATAGAGGCAAGGATGTTCTCTCTAGTTTTGGAATTACCAGCTAAAGCAAGAGGAGCTTATCGAATGGATAAAGCACAACTCCCATATTTTAGAATTAGGCATATGAGGAGCGATATAAACTCTGATGGTGACTATGGACAGGGAATTAACCCNGAAATCAGGCATTATGTCCCTCTCTTCCATGTATTCACTTTTTGGTTGTTGGTAATATACAGGTAAGGGATCATGCCTTAACCCCTACATCACTATGGTGTCATTTAAATAATAATATTAAAAAAAAAAAAAACCACGCTCCAACATTTATTCTGCAAAGATTCCAAATTAAAATGAACATTCATAACCAAATTGTTTTCATTAAATAATTTAAAACTGTCTTATCAGAAAGTTTAATATATCACTATGACTTTTATTTATCTACTTAGATGTGTAGTTTCAATATAACGACATGTTTACTAACGAACTATTTTGATTGAAGCAATAACTCACAGGATTTCATAATATCATAAAGAAATTTTTTAAAAACCGATTTTCCATGGGGGTTGACTGCTGAGTTTGTAATATTAACATAGACATTGGAGGAGGTAACCCCGTCTAAGTTTTTCTCCAACACCTTAGTCTAATTAACAATAACAAAATGTAGATAAGCAGAAATGACAGAGAGGCCTTAGGGCATATATATTAAGATAAAACCTCTCTGGTCTCCCAATTGACCAGGAATAACAGCTAGCTGGGGAGATGTGATTAGTTTGTACCTTACTAAATCTAGAGTTCAAAACTGTTGAATAGCTACAGTTTGAACCATGCGTAAAGCTTGACGAAAACTTCAAGCTCTTGAATTCAAGAAGTTTTAACATTTGATTTACGTAGTAAAGTTTGAACTTGCTTATAAGAGTTGCACGTAGACGTTGATACTCGTAATAAAATAACTCCACTTTTGAAAGAAGAATTTAATTTATATGCACAAATAGTGTAATGAACTTTTACGATATCAATATTATTTAACCTATTATACTAGCATGTGCATGCATTTATTGTAGGTTGTAAATGATTGTATGTTAAATAAAGTTATTTGTAATTACCTTTTAAGTGATTTAATTGGAGACCGATCCAGAATTTGAAGTATATGGGTTTCCAACGATCTCAGGTTAATATTACACTAATAATTATACATCAAGTTAATATTACACTAATATTGTACAAAAGCTATTAGGTTTACGTAAACCTATAACCAATGCTCTAGATCCACCCCCTGTACCCAATCTATATATATA